AATTGAATTGAATTGAATTGAATTGCATTGAATTGCACTGAATTGCATTGAATTGAATACTGGTCAGTGGAAGTCTAACATGGCTCATTATGGCAAAGAACTCTCTGAGGATCTGAAAAACAGACTGTTACTCTACATAAAGATGGCCGAGCCTGTAGGAATGATGCCAACACCCTGAAACGGAGCTGCAGCACGGTGGTCAAGCACATACAGCAGTTTAACAGGACAAGTTCCTCTCAGAACAAACCTCGCCATGGTCGACCAAAGAGGTTGAGTACATATGTTCAGCGTCATATCCAGAGGTTGTCTTTTGAAAGCAGACGCATGAGTGCTGCCAGCATTGCTGAAGAGGTTGGAGGTGTGGAGGTCAGCCTGTCAGTGACCATACGCCGCACACTGCATCACAGGAAGCCTCTTCTAACGATAATCCACAAGAAAGCCCAGAAACAGTTTGCTGAAGACAAGCAGACTAAGGACCACCTGTGTTCTGGTGAGACCAAGACAAACCTATCTGGTTCAGATGGTGTCAGGGGTGTGTGGTGGCAACCAGGTGAGGAGTACAAACACAAGTGTGTCTTGCCTACAGTCAAGCATGGTGGGGTGATGTCATTGTTTGGGGCTGCATGAGTGCTGCTGGCACTGGGGAGCTACAGTTAACTGAAGAATCCATGAATACCAATGTGTGGTTTTTCCCATATTACTAACATGCCAATTTGTTTGTTGTGATTTATTATCAGCCAGACTCACATTTGCTTTAAATGTCAAATTTATTTACGACGGAGTGATTTATCTAAGCTTGGAATGGTACGCGTTAACGGCTGTTCATAGATCCTACCTGCCGGATCTTCTTTTCATTGAGATTGCCGTTATGACTGATGAAGCCGAGCTGGTGAGTTTCTGTGTTAACTTAGTAACGTGTTAAAGCTTATAAATATGACTGTTACTAAACTGTACTGTCATTAATAGTGTTGCTTTGTTAATGTTGTGTGGTTGTTTTATTTTGTGTCTTTCAGTTGATTACCTGGCTTCTGTAAAGGCACGGTTACTGTACTGGTGTTAGTTTGTGCTTGTGCAATAAAACTTGTAAAATACAGCAACCAGATGTCCGAGCCTGAGTACGACACAGTTTCATCAGTCAAAACACACCCTTACGGTGGGAGTTTGCTAAATTAAAGGTAGTTAGCTTAGTAAAGACCATACAACCAACATGTGACATACTGAAGCAGAACATGATCCCCTCCCTTCAGACACCGGGCCACAGGACAGTATTCCAACGTGCTAACAACCCCAAACACACCTCCAAAAAGACCAGTGCCCTGCTAAATAAACTGAGGGTAAAGGTACGTGACTGGCCAACCATGTCTCCAGATTTAAACCCTAGTGAGCGTCTGTGGGGTATCCTCAAATGGAAGCTAGAGGAGCGCGAGGTCTCTAACATCCACCAGCTCCACGATGTCATCATGGAGGAGTGGGAGAGGACTCCAGTGGCACCCTGTGAATCTCCAGTGAACTCCATGGCCAACAGAGTTAAGGCAGTGTTGGAAAATAATGGTTGCCACACAAAATATTGACACTTTGGAGACACTTTGGACATTTGTAGTCACTTTTGTTGCCAGTAGTTTAGATATTAATGACTGTGACAGCAAATTAGTTATACAGTTTGTGATGGCATGCCACACATAGTAAGCTCCACACCTCACCACCCGTTGATTCACTTTAGTTTAATTTACAGTCACTACTTTAAAACATTCTATTTATTGTTCAATATCGTTTCTTTATTAAATGTATTCATTTTTCCATCACACCTTCCAATGTTTATATGGCATGCACACATATTAACCTTGCAAGGTCAAAGTTCTGTTTTATGTTATATTAATACATCTTTCTTTGTTTGAGTTACCTGGGGGTTGGTGTTTCCTCCTGTGTGGCAAAGGGCTGGGAGACCTGAAGTACTACTGACAGCCTAATTGGATTGCACCACATGCTTCATTGCCTGGGGGGTGTTTCATGTTTGTTTAATTGTTTTGTATTAGTTGGTTATATGGCAGCCATCTTGTTTTCCCCCGTGTGTGTCATTTGGTTTAGCTAAACCAGTATTTAAGTCCCCCTGTGTGTCATTTCAGCAGGTCAGTTTACCATATGTTTGTTTGAGGTTTTGTTCATTATTATCTTGAGTTTAATCTATTGAGTTGACCTCTTTTATTGGTCTGCCTGTTTAAGTTTTGGCTTTGTTAAATATGTTTTCATATTTTTGGGTCAATAAAACCCCTTTTTTGAATTAAAACCACCTGTGTCCTTTATGCTTTACTGCTTGGTCCCTGACACAGTTATACAAGCTGCACACTGACTACCTTACATTGTATCAAAGTGTCATAACTCCAAGTTGTCCCATGAAAAAATATATCAAAATATTTAAAACATGTGAGGGCTGTACTCACTTTTGTCAGATACTGCTAAATTGTCTGTAAAGTCTCTCCACTAATATGCTTTGTACCTTGGAACTTATACATTTGCAGACACTAACCATTTCTTCTGCACCTGTGGTTAAGACTGTATAAGAAGCAAGAAATAAACAAACCCCTTAACAGATAAGACCACATCAGAATCACTGAAACACTGAAGAAACACTGAATATCTGCGTGTATCTAGTATTGCTCTCTTTTCTTTTTTCTTTCAGAAAACCATCTACCACGATGCTTTCAAGCTATATTTCTGCCTCATTTAGGTCATTTGGACCTTAAGTTGGGTCCATATTCCTTTGTGTATTCTCTTTGTTAACGGGCAGAAAAGAGCATCATGGAGGTCTGGCATGTATCAGTATGCTTCAATGAGCAATTTTACCGGAATTAGACGTCATTTAGAAGACGTGAAAATAGAAAATGTTCAATTCTGCACTGATGAGCAGAGAAGAGGGAATCAATGAACAAGAACTGCTGTGGAATTACATTAATTAAACACAGGTTTAGCCATAATTTCATTATGCATGTACAATGACAATAAATTCTTTTCTATTCTAGCTCTGATTTTTGCACAAAATCAGCGCAAAAACCTGCATTTCATTAAAAAGACGTCTGTTTACGGTTGTTTTTTAGGATCAACTAAGATCAGTTAAGACCAAATGTGGAATAAATGTAAAAAAACAAACAAACCCAGAATTAATAGAGAAAATTTGAAAAAATAATACATTAAAAACCATGTTTAAATTTAGAAGAAAAAATAGAAATTGAATAAGTGAACATTACAAATGAATGAATTATATTTGGTGTTTATTTACTTAATAAATCTATATTTTATTGTTATTTTTAAGATGTTAAAAATATATTTATCTATTTAATTTAGAATTTTGCTCATTTTGTATTATAAAGTTATAAATATTTTCATTTATCTGGGTCAGCACAAAGTGCCACACTTTTTCCTTCTGTGTCTCGGAGAGAGCTTTATGTGTTCTGGCTGTTCGCACCTGGCATTACGTGACGTTCTGTTGTCACGGTCCAAACTTATATGAATAAAAGATACAGCAAATGTAAAATTCATAAGACCTTTATAATCTATTTCCTGTGGATTATCTCTTAGTCCTTCATTTCCTGCTCACCCAAACTGACACAAAACTTTCTAATATCATCAATTCAGTGAATAACAATACATTTACTGGATAACTAATCTACAAATGTAGACGTCTGGTTTTCCAGTTCATACCACAGCGACACTTATTTTCAGGCCTTGTTGGCATTTAAGGAGGTCGCTCTGGGTCTGTGTGGTGTCCACTCGAGTGAAAGCTACATTGCACTGGTTTGCTTTTGAGATGAAAATGAAAAAAACAACAACAACAATTAAGGAGCACACAAACCTCGAGGAAAACAGACTGCTGACTGACCAGGTGTCTGGGAGGAGGATGAGTGTCACAGGGAGAGAGCGAGAGAGAAATGAGGCTGGATAATTAGGAAAAGCAGGCGGTATTCCCACAGGGAAATAGCAGCAAACTCTGCACATGCAGTTATTCGCACCATCCCTCTGTCTCTTTAAGAGCTCCGAGAAGGAGTGTGTGTTCGCTGTGTGTGCGTGTGCGTGGGGGAGGGGTATTGGCTGGGGTGGAACAGTCCTGTAATGAGCAGATTTTAGAGAGAGAGAGAGCAAAAAACAAGAGAGGACAGATGACTTGGTGGAATCGGGATATTACAACAACAATCCAGATTTAGGTGAGCGCTGGCATGGAGAAGACAAAGGGGAAAGGACAGGAATAATATCCGCCTCTGATTTTTGCATCCCTCATCTTCACTGGAGAGAGTCGCCTGGATCCCGGCCGAGCAGAGGAGAGGAAAAGGGGGAAGAAGAGCCGGGGAGATATTGACACTGCTTTATGTCCGCCAAGGCGTGTGTGCAGGGCTGAGTCCGTTTGATTGCTATGGATGTGTGTCTCTGAGCGTTAGCCTGGATTGCCTGTATCCAGGCCATGCTATAGAAAAATATCTTCAACTCCTCCAGTTTTTTTAAACATGGCGTATGAGTGCATCAGTATCCCTGTCCTGTATCCATCCCTGTGAGCTGGTGATGCAGGGATGTGAGGATGCTCTAATGTGTAATTGAGCCAAGCTCGCTCACTTGCTGCCACCGCCGCCACTCTGTGGGCCTGCGGGACTGCTGGAAAAGCCTAGGCCTCGCTTGTCTGGAGCGCCCTGCTGCACGGCCGAGGCGAAGGGCCTGTGAGGTTGCGTGGTGAGCAGGAAGGTGGAGGAGGAAGTGGAGGAGGAGGATGAGAAGCACTCTGAGCCCGCATGCCCATGGGAAGCAGCATGCACGGCAGCTGTGTACGTCACTCCAGACCCATCGCTGAGGCTCGGATTGCTTCTCCGTCATGAGGCAATGCTCCGTGGGCCCTGTCCTGCTGTTTCTAAAACACCCAGCTAGCGTTCCACATACTAAACTAAGCGGAGAGGAAGTTCGAGGCCCTGAACCTGTATGCTACCTGATTTAAACGAGGCCTCCACCCTCCTTGCTCCTTCTGAGTGAAACAGGCCCTTGTTTTTTTCTTTTTCTTGACGTTCTAAGGATTTGCCTAAACCTGTTTCATGCATGTCCACTGGAGGCAGGTTTGACTTTGATGACGGGGGGTCGTACTGCGGGGGGTGGGAGCAGGGTAAGGCCCATGGCCGAGGTGTCTGCACAGGACCCCAGGGTCAGGGTGAGTACGCTGGGGCCTGGAGTCACGGCTTCGAGGTCCTGGGCGTGTACACGTGGCCAAGTGGGAACAGCTATAAGGGCACCTGGGCACAGGGCAAGCGGCATGGCATCGGAGTGGAGACCAAGGGTCGCTGGGAATACAGAGGAGAGTGGACGCAGGGGTTCAAAGGTCGATATGGGCAGCTGGAGAGCACGGCCAGCGGGGCCCGGTACGAGGGGACATGGAGCAATGGGTTGCAGGATGGATATGGCACTGAAACCTATTCTGACGGAGGTAAGGAAGCTAAGAGCAGCTTATATCTACACAGATTTTCAGACCAGGTTAAAGAGCAGCTTGGTCCACTTTAGCTTCTCTGAATAAAACATTCCAGCTTGTTCCACAAACTAATTTTCAAGCTGCAAGTGGAGCAGCTTGCTTACGTTTTCATCTGCTTAGCTCCACTTTATCACATCTCCAATGTAGGTCACATAAATAACGTGTGGCTCACATCTATGAACACAGACAGGTTACTAAAGACTCCTACTGGGCACCACAGCAGAGGCCTAGGTGTTAAAAGGCAATATTTAGGATAATGTGCAATTGTAAAGTATTGATAGTGTACAGTGTGAGCGCAAAGCAGTGCAACGGTACAGCTGTACTCACAAGTTTACTTCCACTCATCATGGGCTCAAATTTCATGGTAAGTTGTGGCTTTTAATGATTTCTTCAAACTCTCCTTTTTCCTCGATTAAACACATTTTTAATGACTTAAAAAAACAAGATTAGGGTTCACAAGTTTAGTTATTTTGGAATTTCTCCAATCCACACAAAGTGACAAATACACTTCCACTAATATTTAGTTTAATGTCCCTTAGCAAATTGTACTTTGCAAAATCGGTAGCATTCATTTAAATTAGTTGTTTTTCTGGCACAGACCTGGCTTTCAAACACTGTCCTCGCTGAGATTGATCCTGTAGGAAGGCCATTCATGAAGCTTCCAAAACCAGTTTTCATGTTTGTTTGTGATCAGTGTCTTGTTGGAACTCCCAATTGTTTTGACTGCCAAGTTGCTGATTTGAGATGAAGTTGTTTGGTAATTCTCCTTTTCTGTTATTGTTCTATCTGCCCCGGAGCATGATGTTACCACCACCATGCTTGACAGTTGGTACAATTTTCTTAGGTTTGAAAGCCTCGCCTTTACAAACATGGCTCCTGTCAATGTGACCAAATGAAAGTGGCTTCAGTGTGAACAGGAACTCTGGTGTTTCAGCAGCTTCCAGTTCATGGTAGGCTTGAGCCTTGGTGGTTCCTGGGTTAGCCTTTCAGAATCCCAAAGCCCCAACCTGAACTCTATTGAAAATTTTCGGACTATGTTTGAAAACTGGGTCCTTGCCAGGAAACCAACCACTTGAAACGAACCCTATTAATTCGGCCAAGAAGAGCAGTCAGATATCCAGTCAGAATTGCGCCAGGAGCTTGTTGATGGTTATCAAAAGCATCTGACTGAGGTGCAACTTGCTGAGGGACATTCAAACAATTATTAGTGGGGGTATATGTATTTATTTGAACCTATGTAGATTAGAGCAAACCCAAAAGAAATTCAAAGTCGTGCACCCATTTTTTTAAATTTTTGATCATTAAAGACGTGCATTCATTCCAAGTGGGGAAAGCATGGTTCAAACAAATCATTGAAAAAGTTACCATGACATTTACGCCCATGATGAGACAAAGTTCTGACCACAACTGTATGACACAGAGAAATCACTACAGAGGGAAATGAAACAATTACAAAGAGACGCTAAAGAGCTGCAAAAAGAAATATACAAAGTAAATTGACCACAGCGAGACACTAAATGATCAAAACAAAACAAAAAATCCACTGGGAAATGAAAATCGGTAAAACAGTGACTCCTACCTACAAAGACACACGAAACCCCCAAAAATCCACAGAGACACAACTTGAAAACAAGGAGACACAAATTGACTTCAAAATGATACAAGGCAGCTACAAAAAGATATAAATTGACTACATAGTGGTGAAAATTGACCTCAAAGAAAAATTTAATCAGTATAAGGAGAAACAAGCTGACTACAACAACCCCCCACACAAACACAGAGAATATGAAGAGACAACCAAGAGCCATAAAGTGAGCACTTTTAAAAATGTTTCATCAAGAGATTTTAAAAAATTACTGTGAAAGACCTAAAATGTCAAAATAATGTACAAAAATGTGCAAAAGGACTAAAGAGGACAGAGGACACCAGAAGATATTGTGCTGACTGTCTGCCGGGCTCGCGCTGTGTGGAGGCTCTCCTGAGCAGCCTTTCTCTGAGATTTTAAGAGAACACAAACAGGCTTTAAAAACAGGACACCTCTAATATTAGAAATTAAGCCATTTTGAGTCGTGACTCCTGTTTAGACACACAGACTTATCAAAACACACCTTCACCCCTCTCCCCAGTGCCATGAAAGTCTCCATGGAAACATTGATACAGCAGGTCAACGTGTCACAAGAGACCAGCTCGCACGGCTCTCCTGCTCTGATTGGCTCGCTGCCGCTGTCATTTCCCTTTATTTCTGACTTTGGGGGGTTGTAATGTAGGCCGTTTGATCACCGATGGTAGCCCGCCTCCGAGCACCCAGATGATGGAGCGAGAGGTCAGTGAGCGATGCAGGTGGAATAAAAGCACTGCGTGTGTGCGCGTGCGGGCTGAAGGTGGAGATTGTTTACCGGGAGGCGGTGGATCGTTTTTTTTACCGACTCCCTGCGCGAGTGTGAAGGCTGCACGGGTTCATACGCCCTATTTTAACTGAAAAAGACTGCGTCACGCGACAGCTCTGCTCCTCTCTTCCGCTCACGTGGGAGACCACCGACAGATGAATATAGCACGCGCGAGCTGACACATTTTCCACAACCCAATAAATGTGCAGGTTTTCTCCATCAAAGACCCCCGCCCCCCAAATAAGACACAAACATGAGAGAGGTTTACTGACAGAGCTGCCAACAGAGCAAGTGCTCATTAAAAACCATAACAGCCGCATTTGGCGTCCATAGCAGGCCACGAGCAGCCTCGTGCAAAAGCCGTCCTGTCCTGTTTCAGCACCGCGGACAGCTCCGATACTGAAATCCTTAAAAACCTCACGAAGAGCTCAGAGCTGAGCGGAAACAGCGTCAGAGCAGCGGGACACATGTACTCTGGAACAAAATAAAGATTTAAGACTGCGTGTGGCATTTGGGTGTTTGAAGACATGAGAATTCTCGTGGTCATAACCGAACTCCTCTCTGGGTGTGTTTACTTGAGTAAACTTGTTGTGTATGCACAGCGTTTTGCTCGCTTCATAATCAGAGAAAATGTTTTTTAATTTTTTTTTTCAACATTTGTCACACTAACACATGAAAATAATCTGACACCAACAAGCACAACAATCGTACTATAAAATATTCAATAACATAGACATATTGGGTTTGTTTTTTTCAGTAACAATGCACAGCAACTTAACTGATTATGAAGCATTAATACTGTAACTACTAGCTTTTTTCATCTATATATCTATCCATAGCAAGTCTATCACACTGGACACTGGGCTGCTCTGCTAACATCAAAGGAAAATAAATGATGTGATGCTCATGGTAGTTGGGTTACTCATGTGTCTCTCCACACATTTAAGGCTAGATTCACAGCGTGTGGTATCCCTCAGCGTCCCCACTGATCTGGAGCCCAAAGCAGTTGTTTGCTTTGCCTAGTGGCAAGCAGCACCTTTTGTATTTTAAAAGCAAATAGGTTAAAAAATGCTGCCCTCTAATCTATTGAGCAGAACCGAGTTCAGCCTATTGGTGGAGCTCTCCTCAGCAGTCCCAGTTTCTTATGTGGTCCCTTAGGAAAATTAATGGTCCTCCCTTGTCTTTGCCAATAGTGGAAATCAATGTTTTGTTTATGTATTGATTTTTGTTTCTTTCATTTTCATTTCACCTAGTTTGAATGAACAAACCCAATATTGGGGGGTTGATATTATTCTAAGAGCAGCTTCTAAGTGCATGTTAGTACCCATATTGGGTGCTAACTCACTCATTGTCACTGGGACATCTATGGCACTGACACAGGCCTATTCTGGAAATGAGCAACAGCTTTCTAGACATGGAAACAGCCAGCTAAAAGCACAGATAGAAAGACCCGGAGACTATTGGTAAATGGCCTGTAAATGGCCTGTATTTGTATAGTGCTTTTCTAGTCCCTAAGGACCCCAAAGCGCTTTACACAACCAGTCATCCACCCATTCACACACACATCTACACACTGGTGATAGCAAGCTACATTGTAGCCACAGCCACCCTGGGGCGCACTGACAGAGGCGAGGCTGCCGGACACTGGCGCCACCACCAGTAGGCAACATCTGACCACCACCAGTAGGCAACGGGTGAAGTGTCTTGCCCAAGGACACAACGACCGAGACTGTCCGAGCCGGGGCTCGAACCAGCAACCTTCCGATTACAACTCTTGAGCCACGATCGACTCAAGATTGGCCGTATAGAAATGAAATGGACAAAGTCATGTGACCAGACATCACAGACTGATTAGCGACGTCTCATTATGAAGCCCTGAGCTGACCGTTTTCACCACTGCTGTCTTGGTGTTGTGAAGCCAGATGTGATGAGTAAGGAGTAGATGTGACTGCGAAGCAACTTGTGATTGGCAGGTCAGCAGCTAATGAGCATACTCTGGATACCTACCCTCCTTTCTAACTCTAATAATGACCAGAATTTATGAAATGAACTTCATGTGTGCCACGTGGCATGTTTACGTCAGACATTAAATAGAGTTTCTAAACCAAGAGTTAATGAGCCGTTGGTGCAGATAGTGTTTTTGAAGAGAGGACCCAAAAGCAGACACTTGAAGACAGAACTTGATCTTAACAAAAGGCAGGTTGTTTATTAAAGATAGAAGATCAGACAAGGATAGAAAATAAAAGACAAAAGGCAATGAAGGCATATGCTAGACTGGGAAAACCTACTAAGGACAAGACACGTGGAGGAAAGTGAACTGAAGTTCCGGCAAAGGACAAAGGGGAAGTGATGCAATAAATACACAGACCGCTGATTATGAAAGTGGAGAGAGCCGCGAAACTCAAGTGGAACAAATTCAACACAGAGACAAGGGAAGCAAAACTAAACACAAGCACATGACACAAGGACTATCAAAATAAGACAGGAAACACACTGACACTGACAAGCACTCAAGGATTGGTCAGGCTGAATTAATCAGCCACTCTAAAAACTGAATCTCGACTCTTTTTTTTCAGTTTTGGACTACTGTGTGTAGAAAACAGGTGACCTGAAGATACATCTTTAATTTTTCTTTCACACTCAGAATAATCAATCCTTAAAATTCACTACTTGCAGTCTTGGTTGTGGCTGGCTTGCTAGGTTGATGACTTTAGCCGTGATCAGAAGCAGCTGGAGCAGTACCTACTAAACCCAATCTGCAACAGAGAAGAACAGACAGCTATTAAAAAGCTGACTGCAACTTAAACCTCTCCAGCTTTATAATCAGGAATGAGTCCTACTGTAAGTGAAACTAACACGCTGGTAAGTTTCCTTCCCAGAAACATGAAACTTTAGATTTACTTCACCCTTTGCTCTGATCACCTCAGGGATTTGAGGAGAGGATGCTGACCTCTCCTTAGAGCAGACCTGCTTTGGTTGGAGACTGCTCTCAGGAGTTTGCCTTCTTCCAGGAGGTCTGGACATCAACTGGAGCTGATTTTTTGTTCTTGGTGTAGACAGAGAGGAGCATAGTGAGAGAGGAGGCTTGACATATATAAACCTTTATGGCTGATTTCAGAGCAACAGCAACCCCCTCGTTGTATCATAATATGCTGGCATGTCTTCTGCTCACCTCCTCCACCTAAATTGCCAAATCCTCAACAGCTCAGGCATAAAGATTCCTCCACTACAGCTTTTCCTGTTTTTACAGAGTACATATGTGTATTTTCTGCAGACTGGGAGAAGCCAAAAAACAAGTGTTATTTATGGTTTATTTCAAGTGTTTCTATTATTTTAATGCCATTTCACTTTGCTTCAAGTTAGCACTGCTGTGTTTTAAAGATTTTATTCTTGGCAGCGTGTAGTTTTCACACAAAGATGCACAAACACATCACATATTAGATCGGATGCTGAGCAGCCTCCTCACATTATGGAATATTTTCTACACTTCCATCCACATGAGGCAGGGATGGCATTTTTAGACTGACATACAGATGCAAATTAGTATGCAAAGCTCTGGTGTGCTCACAGTGAGTCCAGACACATCTTTGTCAAGCTTTAATTTTATGGCAGATTTATTTGTACCTTGTTGAAAACGTTCATAAACAGTCAACACAGAAACTAAATATATGTGGCATTTCTCAGAAGTGTCAGTGTTGTCATACACGTCACCAGGACTTTTCCTGTTTCAGAATGAAAGACGTTAGTTGCCATTTCTGACAGACAGCTGTGCATTTTCCTGTTGCATTTCTGACTACTTGCTGACAAAAATTAGCAAAATGCTTGGGTAAAAACCCCAATCAATTAAACTGCGACTGCATTCTTTCTAATACCCAGTGGAGGGAAACTACCTTTCCCTTTGACCTTTAACATGACTTTATAGTTTCATCCACTGGTTTCAGGTCATGCTAAACACTGAGCTGTGAGACAGAGCTGGGTGTTATACCGTGTCCTCACTTTTAGCCTCAAGTGCTAACACATGTGAATCGGCCTTAAACACAGAACAACGTTACCTATGAGGCTGATGCACGAGGCGACTGGCTGATTACATTTGAAGGGAATTTGCTTAAATTAACTTAACTCCTAACCCTGTGCTATGTGAGTATGTGAAGTTTGGGGTTTGACATCTTCTGAAAACTTGGCAGTTTGACAATTTAGAAGTGGACGGGAGCCCTCTGACCAGTTCTCAGTAATCCATCCTGTTGTGCCTGAAATTAGCCCTGCACACCAACTTTGCTACTCAGTGAGCACTTTGAGTTTGCAAAGACCTTCCACTGAGTAATGCAAAGACCATTTTGGCAATTACTGTATAACAGTTAGCATACATTAGTGTATTCCTCATGCATGCTACTCTCCTGTTTGGTCCATTGAGAATTCAATTAATGATCTAACTAATGAATGAATTTACACATAGATATTTGGACACTCAAATAAAATGCAGTTCTTATGTCTGACTCGTGCTGTGTCTGTCTGTCTTTCAGGAACCTACCAAGGCCAGTGGCTGGGAGGGATGCGCCACGGCTATGGTGTGCGACAGAGTGTGCCGTACGGCATGGCAGCTGTCATCCTCTTCCCTCTGCGAACATCTATAAACTCTCTCCGCTCTGAGCACAGCCATGGCCCTCCTGCTGTGCTGGAGGATGGCACTGCCACCACGCCTACAGATGGGGTGGTGGCCGGACTGGCTGGGAGCCCAGTGGGCCGGGGTGGGTTTGCTCTTGTGGCACCGAGTGAGGCCGAACGGCAGAGGAAGAGAAAAGGCCGCTTTCGGCAGTCTATCCTAAGTGGCCTGAAGCTTCGGCGCTCTGAGTCCAAAAGTTCTCTAGCCAGTCAGCTCAGCAAGCAGAGCTCCTTCTGCAGCGAGGCCGGCATGAGCACCGTCAGCTCTGCTGCATCTGACATCCACTCCAACACCAGTGAGAGTGAACAGGGCGCTCCTGTGGATGCCACTGTCACTGAGATGTATGCTGGAGAGTGGAGGAGTGACCAGAGAGCTGGCTGGGGCGTGAGCAGGCGCTCAGATGGCCTGCATTATGCAGGCGAATGGGCGGGCAACAAGAGGCATGGATATGGCTGCACCACCTTCCCCGATGGCACCAAGGAGGAGGGAAAATACAAGCAGAATGTGCTGGTGAGCGGAAAACGCAAGAACCTGATCCCCCTGAGGGCCAGTAAAATCCGAGAGAAGGTGGACCGAGCTGTGGAAGCTGCGGAGAAGGCCGCGGACATCGCCAAGCAGAAAGCAGAGATTGCTGTGTCGAGGTTAGATTTTCCAGTATTCTGGTCACCGCCTCGTAGGAATAATTTGAACGTATCTCGTTAGATAGAGCTGGTGACACACCTCTGCGCACCCAGCAAGATTAAGCAACATTAAATCCTCTGAAGTCTAAGACATCACTGGTGACGACCCTCGGTCCAAAGCCTAATCGTCGCCCTTTGTTTGACAAAACTAGCTTTTTTGGAGAAATCATTTTTGATGAGTGTCAGTGTGTTGTACAATAATCATTGTCTTTGTCCCCTGATTACCGGGGGATGATTTCTTTTAAATGAGCTAGCGTTAGACCTCACAAATTTGGGATTCAAATCTGGTCAAATACCTTCCCCAGAGATAAATAAAAGAACAAGTGATATATTACAAACTATGGTGTGGTTTGCATTACTAACCAATTATCTGTTCCTGTGTGGTGGGGTAGTGCTTTATATTGTCTATATTGTTTCATAGGGAGCCACAGCACATATTTAGCCCTTCAAAGGCTAATCAAGCTACGTTTTTTTAAGTGCAAACTTTTTGAGAGACAGTCATGCATTCTTTTCGATAAAACATATTTTTTGCTGTCTCGTATGAAAGTTTCACTTAGATATTACAAATACCTGGATATTGTTTAGGAGAACATTTTTATTACTTCATAGATACAAAGTAATTTTTCTTAAAATACACACACGTTTTGATTTCGCTGTTTCTGCCTGTTCTGTTCAGGATGAGCCACGCTCGTGGGAAGGCAGAGGCTGCAGAAGGTGTGGCGCAGAAAGCCACGGAGGAGTGTCGACTGGCTCGGATAGCTGCCAAAGAGCTTTCACCCTCCTTTCACATCTATGGCAATGGTTAGTAGGTGCACAAGTGTCAGTACATTAAATGTAACAAATGTAGCAAAGCACTATGTGCGAATCAGTCTGTTTACCATTTACCAAAACTAACCAACACGGTCTGCAGCAAGTAACAGGTAGCTAGATGATGTTAGCTTAAGCTAATTTCACACTTTACATGTTCTTGTTATGATCCTGCTTTCACAAATGAGTTATATGATATGTAGCATGCATAAATAAGAGCTAAATGCTAACTAGCTTAGCTTAGATGAGTGGCCTCCCCCATCTGATGGACGACTGGTTTCTGAGGCCCTGTTGTGAAGCCGCAAAATGAGTGTTTCTCAATATGACCGGTATGACGTCAGATGTGTGCCTGTGCTCACGGAGGTCAAGACAGAAAGACATTTTTCCACAGACCTCTATAGAACTGGAAACCATAAAAAACGCAATTTTAGCATTGCAAAAGGAAAGAAGAAAAAAAGCAGTTTTTTGTAGTAAATGCTGTAAATGAATTTGGCAAATTATGCAGTCAATTAATGGTAGAAATTGACTGCTTAGATATTATGTATATGGTATATTTTATCTCAATTTTAAAGCCATAAACAAACTATTTGTTTATGGAGGCAAAAGAATTAACCTATAAAGATAAAACAAAGGTATAACAACCTTTCTATTTGTTTTTTGCCTTCAGGCTTTTCTCTTAGCTTCACTGATTCTATAGTACTCTGTATTTTTTAGATTTTCCACAGAAATTTGTTTGAGATAATTATGATTCATAGCTAAAGGATTACAATGCACTAATTTTCTTAAAATCTACATGCAAAAGTACGCCTACTGGAACCTTTACAGATTAATAAAGTAAGTGTGAATTTGCTTTTAAGCGTAGGCCCAGTGTTACACACATTTTAATCTCATAATAAACTACAAAGGATTAGCCTGTAAGAATTCAAATTAAATCAAGTATATTCACTTTCATAATCCTCTCTAAGCTGGCAGCACGAGGCTCCGTTTGTTTGCAGCTCTTCTCCTCCTTTTGTGTGCCGATGACACTCAAACATACTCGCGCTGTAGGCTTTGCTCTGAGTGCCAAATCACCTCACTGGTGCTGTTCTCCTGTTTTCATAGGGCTCGAATGTCAGCGGCCCAAACACCAGGGCACCAAGGACAAAGACCATGAGGTCATCTCCACAGGAACAGACAGTCCAGAGCTGTGCACTCCTGACACCACGCCACCTGTGATAACACCTGATCTCAGCCCCGTGCTGAGCGTACCCACCTCACCTCCCCACAGTCCACTCAAACACACCCATCGCCCGAGGAATGCTTGCTTCATGCGCCAGAGCGCCGTGGACGATCAGGGCGGGGCTGAGATCCAGGTGCTGGTAGAAGGGCGGGGGGTGGATCTGCCGAGGGGCGGGGCTAACAATTGGAGCGACGACATGTATCCGGATCGAGCGTGTAGCAGTCGCTCCACTACGCCCTCCCTTCTGGAAGAGCAGGAGGGACAACTAAATGGCCACGAACAAGCCCCTTTGTCCAACCACAAGCCACGGGAGAAATCCATTTCCAATCACAAGCCCCGGGACCACGCTTCCTCCTACAGAGCCTGGGAGCATTCCTTGTCCAACCAAAAGCTCTCCAAGCACGCCTCTTCCAATCACAAGTCAAGAGACTACTCATCGTCCAATCACAAAACATGGGATCATTCGTCCACCAATCACAAAACCTGCGAGCATGCCTCTTCCAACTACAAGCCACAGGTGCACATTTTATCCAATCACAAGGCCTTGGATCACAACATGTCCAATCACAAGACTTCTGAGCATGCTTCTTCCAATCACAAGCCCCAAGAATATATCTTGTCCAATCACAATGCCAAGGACCACGTCTCTTCTTCTTGTTACAATCCTCGAGAGCATGTCTACTCCAACCACCATCCAAAGCAGCACAACCACTCCAACCACAAGCTTAACGAGCACGCTGTAATCGACCAAAGGCTAGACGGCCACACCGGGGGCTGGACTGCTGAAAGCACCCTTAGGTGGAGCCCCGCCCACTCGCGCCTCTCAGAGCAGGACGAGGAGAAGATGAATGACTATACAGTCGACATGAGGCTGCACTGTCCGGACTCGCAGACTTCTCGGGGGCTGGGACAAGAGTCCCCGGCCCCCAAGAACAACAGGCTGCGATCCAGAAGCCTTCGACCGGTCAGAGAAGGATCCATGGACTCTGTACAGATGCTGGACAACCTGAATGTGGGGGCAGAGCTGGAGGAGTGGCCACTGCACAGGGACCTCACCCTCTCCCCACCTCTAAAGTCTCAGCCCATCACTCTGGAGCAGGAAGGAGAGCAATTCACCCTCAAATCAAACTCAGTGAGTCTGCAGTGCTCTGTCAGGCTAACAGTTCATTTTTTAACACATAATAACATAATGTTTGCTGTTACCACTGTTAACACACTGATAAAAAAAAAAGAAAAAGAGCTGTGTGATAAGACCTACATATTTCAGTTAAATGCAACAAAACTAGTGTAGAGTTAATATTTAAAGGAAGAGCTATGTGTTTACCAAAACTTCACGTTTTAGTCACAGTGCCTCAATGATAAAAATCAAATGATTTTTCAGATTAAAAGACTTTTAGTTCACAAAATGCCAAGATGTATTAGACAGGAAATTTTAAAACAACTCAAGAAAAATCATTTTTCTCAGTGTTAGACGACAGTGGGATATGAAAGTCACTGCTGAATCATCAGCACAGCAGATAAACGTGTGTCTTGAAATTATTAAGAGCATAAAAAGAAGACGATTGGTCTTCCTGAAGTTTTTTGGAGACGTTTCACTTCCTTTCTAGCTTTTCAAGCTCTTAAGACTCGGGGTGACCGAGAACCTGCACAGACGCCTGTGTTGGAAAATATCTATCACTGTGATAAGAATCAAAGGTACGAAACTATCACAATTAACTCCACAATGTTACATTTTCAATTTTTACACTGAACAAAGGAACTTTCAATGGACAGATTACTGATCCAAGAGCTTCCCTAAAACTGCTAACATGTGGTGTTACTGCATGCAGAGATTCAAAAATGCAACAATCGAAAAACAGCATCTCAACAAAAAGGTATAAACTAACCAAAAGATTCCTAAAACAATTATGGAAAGACTCAAAACGAGCACAAAGTGAAACTGAATGCTCGCAGATTCACAAAACAACAAAAGGAGAGCAAACACTACAAAAATGTAAAATAATGAAAAAAAAAACCTCAAAAGGATCTCAAGACTGAAAAATGTCTGAAAACAACTACAAAGATTCTGTATGAAGGCAAAATATGAATACTCTCAAAACCAAAACAAAAAGGGGTAAACCACCTTCAGCTGACTCAGGTTTGTAGCTGTGAGATTAGCTAAGAAACTCCTGGGTCTAGCCTAAAATTTTCCCACTACACAATTCAAAAGTCCATCACCACAAAGGGTCTAAAATGGAACCGAAATCCAGAAGTGCTCTGGTTTTAGAAGTATTTCCTCATTTCTGTTCCCATATAAATGCATTCTTTACACAGTGTCTTCAGTACAAGACTTTCCTGCATCAGTCATGGTGGATGATTGTAAGAATGACACCAAGGAGCCAGAGTCTGTAATGTGTCCACTAGATGACACACTCGTTGTTATTGCCTTCTTATTCCATAGGTAGACGTGGACACGTGTGGGGTGGGCATTATCATGAGGAAGTTGTGTTTACAAAAATCATGAATTTTACATGTAGTTTGCACCAGTGCGGTCTAAGCGTGCCCTGTGATGGGCCAAAGTTGTCTGGTGATCAGTACATAGTTAACTTTGTTAACAAGCCTTAAAATAATCTGCATAACATCAAGTTACCAAGTATTCTTTTTGAGTTTCACAAAAACACTTCGGTATTAGGGTATTACTTTTGTAATTCTTCAAATTTCAGTTTTTTTGGGCGGGGTTTTCTTCTTCCTCTTACAGAGTGCATGCTTACATAAGATAGTTTAGGATGTTAACTTTCAACAGATGTTAGGAAAACCATAAACACAACTAGTTGAAGAATAAGTAACTAAACTTCCTTGTGTTTTGAGTGTATGTAGGGAAAAAAAAGTTAAGTCACTGCGGACTCCTCTGTGGGCTGGCAACAACATGGACCTTCATTTTCACTCCCGAGGCATAATATACTGACGATTGGTCACCTAGTGTAAAATGTTACGCTTTGGGAGTGAGAACGTGCTGTCACTTTATGTCACTCGGACCCAAGCAGACTCACGGACGCAGAAAATATAATCGAGACTCACATCTGTTACGTTATTTTGCCCAGTTATTGTGCAGCCCAACTCTAACCTCTAACCTGTTTGTTGATAGCCTGGTGGGTTACTCAGATGTCCATTGTTAAATCTTGACCAGAGTCTGAGTGTCTGTGTTTGTGTTTCCACTGAGATCGTTGGTGCTGTAACTGGTCTAATTGCTTTTTTCTCTCTTCTCTTGTCTCCTAGGGCTCCAGCTCTATTCTGGTGGTTATGGTCATTTTACTCAATATTGGAGTAGCCATTCTTTTCATTCACTTCTTTATTTAAGCTTATACAGGTATGATCTACTAAGACTTATTGATAACTACGGTATATTATATGATTACTTAATGAGATGGACGTTCTGTCTATTCGACTGGAGCCCGCAGCCCGAGTGAAGGACACAGCAGAGCCTTTCTATTGTTGCTACTGTCTTTTTCACCTCTGTTGAAGCCCATTTCAGTTTCTACAAACACACCATTTCTTTTCAAATGCTTATTTTGACTTTCATTCGATATAACTTCCATAGAACGTCCACATGATAAAAGGCGGTTGAATTAGAGTCACGAGAAAAAAAGAAAATGCAGCTTTAGACGAGCGTGTTGTTTCGGGCTCACGTGCACGGATGCCCGTTGCTGACAGATCAGTGGACTGGAGATGGCACAGGCAGCGTTGCCCATTTTTTAAAATCAGTCTAGAAAAGAATATAGCAACCCATGTTCCTCGTTATCATGAGAAACACACTCAGTCCTAAGCCCCCTTTTGCCTTTGAACCTTTTTCCTTTCCTTCAAATCCATCAGTCTCTATTCGCACTATGCGCTACAGAACTATGCTGCAAGAGTAGATCCATTTTAAAGGGCTCCGTCATTATTCTTTTCTCTTTTTCCCCTCTACTACATAAACACGCAACCATTGCATGAGGCTGTGTGAGATTTTAAAAAGTGCATTTTTCTATCCCTTTAACATCACTGTTCTGTCTTCATTTGTGCGCACTTCATCCTGATGGTCACCTCTCGATTGTCAGACACTTCACATTCAACCAAAATCACAGAGTATGACCAAATCATATTTGATTTGCGAAATCAAATGCCAGCGACCAACACATGCCAAGCCCTCCTGGTCTAATCCGAGAGGAACTTTCTGAATTCATTACAAGTAAAGTGGAACCACATAAACACACGTTTGCGTGCATAATAAACCGAACAAAAAGCAAAAGAAAAAAAACACATTTAACTGCTGACATACTGAGGAGGTATCAGCCTTGCCCCTTTGTACAGCCTTGAGACTGTTATGTTATAATCACTAATTCTAATATATAAGTGTATGTGTCATTATTCTTCAAGTTTGTTACTTTTTGCAGTTTGCAAGACAGAGAGAATGCTGAGTGCCTCGTATTTATTCATTTTGGTTCTCAAATTGATTTAAAAGCCAACCCTAGATCAAACACCCCACACGGGCAGGCTAAGAGGAGACAAATAACCTTGAAAATTAAAAAAAAGCGATCCCCATCCTTCGGCCCTCCACACAATCAGCCCTTCCCTCTTCACCCTGAAATGGCATGCACTGTTTTGTCTCTCTCTCCCAGTCGCCCCTTTTGGACCAGTCGAAAAGGGAAAAATGGGGTTTCTACGGTGTCATTTCCAGAAAACTGGTTTTTTTTTTGAGACCGGATGAGATTTTTGTTTCCAGCATGTTTGTTTAGCCTGCTCAATCTGGTGTCAGTTTGTGAATTTCTCCCTCTTGTCTCTCTTATCCAGCAACACAAGGCTACGTGAGACATGGAGAGCAGTGTAAAATAAACGCTAGCTTTTAACTCTCAGTGGATACTGAAATGTCCCGAGTTTATGAATGATATAAAAGAAACTCTCTGCTACTGTATGTTTTATACTTCGCACCCAGTGGCATCATCATGTTGTGACATCATTGCATGCCCGAGCATGCTCTTTCTTACTCTTTGGTTTATGAGGTTGTTTCAAAGTTAATGTGGAGAAAATAATGAAATGTTTGAAATTAAAGAGCTTGGTGTGGTTATTACTGAAAGTAATTTCATCTACAGCCCATACTACAGCCAGTACAGACTACATGTTGAGCAGGAAGTCTAAAAGCTATCTGCCCTGCACTTTATGTCAAACTCATTTTACATGGTTTTACACATACAGCCCACTTTGGCCTTATGTGAAGTGGACCAGTGCAACTTCCCTTTCTGTCAGTATATAAGAAAAAGAAGTGCAACTTTCCCATGTGGTAAAGAAAGACTGCTGTAGTATATGAACGCAATCTGTCAACATGACTCTTTGGACTTAAATTGGAAGAACTAAATGTGTAAAATATAGAAATATATCACTTAATTGTTTTGGTGTCGTATCAATGGCCATAGGGAGGCCTTTAACTGTAGGAAAAGCTCTAAAACTTGTGAAAATACAGTTAAAAGTCTAACATGTCCACATTTTCCGAAGCCATCTATTGAGCCAGATTGGAGTCTTTGCTGGCCCAAATCTGGCCCCCGGGCCTTATGTTTGACGCCACATTACTAAAATTCCAGTTCCTCAAGTGGCCACCTATAGACAATCCCCATAGACATGAATGTTAAAATGCCCAACTTTACAGCAGAAATAAACATGTTTAGAGTCTAGAACAGTGTCAGTCTATAGAGTTCATATCCTCATCAATGCCAACTGTGTGTGGGGCAATTTAAGGATAACTCACCTCTTTAAAGAATATTACAGCTGTAACCTTTGGCATGGCTGCTCTGACAAGTTGGTGTATTTTGTCTGACTACTAAAAGACCAACACGTTCTCCTTAATGCCATGTTATGCACAAAGTGTCCTCTGGTGTTGTTGTCCTGATGCAACTGCTGCAGCATTATTGTCTGCCATGAGAAGTCTTCTCCATTTCTGAGCCCACGGTTGGACCTTAGAGGTGAAGCAGTGAATTAAGCTGCAGGTATAAAAGCCTTATATAAGCCTTTGGTTTAAATTTGATTGGGAGACGCTTTTATTTTTTCACTTTTACTTACTACTTTGCTACGGCTGGGGAAACCTGCAGTCAGATGAGACTGAAGTAGTCACACAGATGAGTGACGAAACATTTCTCCCACTTAAAACACTCCAGATGAACAGAATCTGCTTTTTGAGGTACTACTTTAACTTTGCTCATCTGTTAGCAAGAGCTTTGTTAGGCTTAGCCATTAAAAGGTAAGTGGTTAAGTTTAAGAGAAGACCAGATTCTAGTGTAAAATGCACTGTCATACAACAGTAACACTTTTGAAAGTGTCAAATTGAAACAGCCAAATTTGTCATGCCCTGGGGATGCAAATGGGCTGAAAAGACACTGAAGAATCAGTGTTACAGTTTATTGATTGAGTTTTAAGCTTTTGTATTTTTATATTTTTTTCTAGTTAATATTAACATTCCATTAATATGACAGTAAGTAATGCTAGTTGGGTTAGTTAGCTAGCTAGTCTGATAACCTCCCAACTCAACCCGCTCATCCAAATGTGGTGAAAGAAAAATGCAACCAAATTCCATAGTTCAAAGCTGTAGGAGCACAGGTGGTGATATTTATTATACAATTGGTGAAATATAATGGAAAACCCAGCATTTAACAGAACCATTAGCCTATACGGCTATCCAGTTTGCTATCACTGTATTGGATCAGTTAAAGTAAAAAGGTCATATGATAATGGTGGGTGATATAATAAAAAGTTTTTAAAACAATGATTTTGAATAATAATGAGCTCAAAGTCAGTACAAAAAATGTTAAGTCTAAAGCTCCAGCAACACTTATCTTTATGTGGAGCAAGTTTTTGTTTTGTATTTGGCCCAAATGAAGCTTATGCAGCCTATTTAATTTAATTTAATTTAATTTAATTTAATTTAATTTAATTTAATTTAATTTAATTTAATTTAATTTAATTTTACTTATTCAGTTTTTTTAATTACATTTTGCTATGAAAATGTTAAATAACTGATTAATTGAAACAGGGAAATAGTCTGTGAAAATACATTATATAAGGCACAAACAGTTTGTGTTGTTCTAACAGACTTGAACGTTAATAATTGGTGTGTCCACTTTGAGGCTTCGCCACAGTCTGAACCTGAAACCTCTCCAGTTATTTTTTAGTTGTCTTCAGGAATATTTCTCCAGTCTTTCTGATGTACATTCGAAGCATTCGTATTTGGATGCTGGTCGACTCTTGTCAGGAACCCCCCCAAAACAACCAAATTCCATAGCTCAAGGCTTCAAAGCTCCCACACCGCTTCCACGGTGTTGAAGGACGGGCGGCTGAAATGACACAGTCTCCATCATGTTTTATAGAAGGTGGAGACAGTCATACCTCTCTCCTGACCTCCTCTAAACAATGTAATGATTTAAATTAAAAGTTGGATTCCTCACTCCACAAAACCTATTGCCAACGATTTCCAGTCCAGTTCTTATATAATGTGGCATAACTCACTCTTTTCTTGCCACTTCACTTCCTTCAGATTGCTTCCTGACAGCCATGCTTCCAGTGAGCCGCCTATATCCAAAGAAACAGTTTGAAAAGTGCTTAAGGAAGCTGAAGCCCATGTTAAAAAGTCTGCCAGCTTTGAACTAAAATACATGATCTTTTTCAGTTTTGATAAAAGGACACTATGGGCTCAAAATGTGGTCATAAATATTTTGTACTTGTAAATCAGTTTCGTATGTGTAAAAAGAATTTGTGTGTGCGTAACAAAGATTTGTGTGTGTAAAAAAAATGTGTGCGTGTGTAAAAAAGATTTGTGCGTGTAAAAAAGATTTGTGCGTGTAAAAAAGATTTGTGCGTGGACTTAGCCAAAAAAAAAACCCTGCAAGTTACAAGTACGAATTTTGACCCTATTTTTCTTCCTTTCATTTGATTGGTCAATGTCATGTCAATCACAAATGTAACAATCCAATCAGAGAACAGATGGGTTTGGCTGTCAGAGGGGCGCTTTTTTGAACTGCTGGTCCTTGAAGGGTAATACAGTTTGAAGCTGGAGGATCGCTATATAAATATCCGATAGCAGCTAGGTCCTCTAACTTTCAGTAGCTGTTGAAAGGAAAAAGTTGTGGTATATCAGTGGTTAGAAATACCATTATTACTTTAGGATTAGTTTAACACAAAGTCAGGGCTGACCCGGGACCATTGCTGTGAGTTACAGTGCGCAGCATAAAAGTCCTTTCACATCGGACGCAGGATGTGCTGCTAATGCTAACTGCTAACTAAAAGCAAAGGATCCAGAATTTGTTGCTGGCTGCTGGGCTCTGTGGGTTTTTGCAGCAGCTCTACCTGTACTAGATGCTCCTGCTCCTTGTTGTTTCTATCTCTGACTTTATGTCCTCTACAAGAATTTGTTTTTTTTGCTGGTTCTTCAAATGTTAAATAAAAACATGTATGCTAATTCATAACGAAGAAAGCTTTGTAATGAAGACTGTCATTTCCAAAACACTGCCCGCCCCCACCCCGCGGTCCGCAGCGCTGTTGAAAAGGCTGTGGAAGTCCCTGTATTAAACACGTAGACCTGTGACACAAAAATCACCAAACTCGGACGACCACAGACTGTTTTCCTTCGTGGTGATGAAGGAAAACGCTGGGTTGGCATGAAAACAGGCATTTATTCCCTTCAAAGACCTGCAGTTCAAAAAAAGCGCCCCTCGACAGCCAAACCCATCTGTTCTCTGATTGGATTGTTACATTTGTGATTGACATGACATTCACCAATCAGATGAAAGGAAGAAAAATGGGGTCAAAATTCGTATTTGTAACTTGCAGGGTTTTTTTTTGTCTAAGTCCACACACAAATCTTTTTTACACATACAAATCTTTTTTATGCACACACAAATTTTTTTTTACACATACAAATCCTGATTTACAAGTACAAAATATTTATGACCACATTTTGAGCCCATAGGACACAGAAGGTGATAATTCTGTGCTGCATGCGGATCTCACCATGATGCCGAGGAACCCATTAAGCTCATTGTTATAACAATGTTTATCTTCCTCTTTGGTGGTAATAAAGAGCATATTTTACTAAATAAACAGAATGCTTCTCCCATCTGTCTATTTATCTATCCAGACAGACAGGTTTTTCCCCCACGTTAGAAATAAAACTGTGGATTCTAATTTTTAAAAATACTTGAGAAAATGTAGAATGTAAAAAAAGGAAGGCTGCCTCTCGCTTCCTGTGACACACAGAAACATGTTCTTCCTGTTGGTGAGTGAACAATATCAACAATGTTGAAAAATATGAATACATTGTTATTAAAATTGTTGCCTTTAATATTGATTTTGGGCAACGGTGCTTTTTGGGGGAAGACATTAAGTGAAATGAGCTTTATATTAGACAAAAGTATCGCTGCTGAGAATTTCACCTAACTTGTGCGGTTTTGTCTGTCGGTTGAAAACGATGGTATCAGTTGAGACTGTGGGGGTTCATGGTGTACACGACAGAGCTGATGAGACAGAGTACACAGTTGAAACACTCCCCCTACTGTCAAAACGAGGAAGTAGACTTTCTGATACGTTAACAACACCTTTTAGCTTTGTGGTGGATTGTAAACTCTTCCAACAATCAGCGAGAGTTATTTTATCTCCACCGGAGCTCGTTTTGGTTCCTCGGTGCTTCTCTAACATAGTATCGCAGTAACAGCGACGACAGCTCGCTGCGTGGCGGTTTCCGGTGTCCGTCCGTCTGCTAGAGGATGGCGTCCGGCTTCAACCGCATCCCTACCACCGCTGGTCCTCCGAGTCCAGAAAACACCGACGGTTTTCGACCAGAGGCCGAAGACGGCCGTGAAAAGCAATGCTAAGCAGCTCAAGTAAGTTATCGTGAATTCATTTTTTTCTGAATGCGATTTTTTTTCTTTGCAAACGTGCGAGACTCCGCTGCAGGAGGCGGATTTCCTCCCGCAGCTTCGGGGAGGCCTAGTTTGATATGGGTCCTGCATACAGTGAAGGTTCATATCAAATGTTAGACCAGTATAAACGCTATTGTGGCCTGTCATGAAGCGGCATTT